ATAGACCAAGCCCTTCTAATCTCCAAGAGATAGGGCCATCGCCAGCGTCCAGTTGATGTTCTGATAACATAGTGAGCTCAGAGAATGGATTTTAAGTCTTGAGAAAACAAACTTTTCCTTCTAACTCTCCCAGGACAGTGAGTAGTCTTCACACAAATTCAAAATCCGCAGAAACAAAACCCCATCCTGACCGCTGCCCTTCCCCAAGGACACAGTTTCTCCAGATTTCTGATTCATCTTGGCAACATCTACAAATAAAACCGAATGACCCAGAGACCGAGCAGACGCAAAGAAGTATGTGTGATTGCGTGAGCCTAACATGTTCCTTATGACAGAAACATGTTCCCAGGACCTACTGAGTCAGTCAGAGGAATGGCCGGTTGTAACTTATCTCACTTCAGAGGTGGTGGGAAACCAGGCCTCACTGCTGAGGACCAGGAGAGAGGCTGCTGAAAGAATTGGGCCTCTTTCTAAGTAAGGGGACAAAGAACATGTAACAGTCAGCTAGAATCCACCAACATGGGGTTGGTCTCTGTGGAGCTGGGTGTATGACTGGGCAGGAGGCTTCTGGTGCTTAAAGGAGATCTTCGAGTCAGGCCGACCTGGGTTCAAATCCCAGCTTCCTAGCCATGGCCTTGGGTAAGCGACTTGGCTTGTTTGAACCACACTTTGCTCATCTGTGAAATGGGGATAAGAACAGCACCTATCTCATGAGGCTGTTGTGAGGTTTAAGTGAGATATTACTTATCAAAAGGGCTTAGCAGAGTGCCTGGCACATAGTCAAGTTCAATAAGTGCTTAACATTATTAGTAAATATTGTAATTAGCCCTGGTTTCCCAAGGCTGCCATAACAAATTACCCCAAATTTGGTGGCTTAAAGCAACAGAAATGGATTCTGTCATAGTTAGGGGACCAGAAGTCTGAAGTCAAGGCGTTGGCAGGCAATGCTCCCTCTGAAGGCTCTAGGGGAAAATCCTTTCTTGCCTCTTCGGCTTCCGAGGCTGCCGGCATTCCTTTGCTTGTGGCTGCAGAACTCCACTCTCTGCCTCCACATTCCCACGGCCTTCTCCACGTTTCCCTTTGTCTCTCCTCTATCTCTTATAAGGACACTTGCCATTGTATTCTGGGCCCACCCGAATAATCCAGAATGAACTTTACTCAAGATTCCTAATTTAACACAATTGCAAAGACCCCTTTTCCAAACAGGGTCACATTCACAGGTTCTGGGGATTAGGATCTGGGCATATCTGTTGGGGAGCACCATTCACCCACAAACTACGTACTATTTACATGCTTATTTGACCAACAGTGCAGAACTGGCTGCAGACGGGACAGGGGTCCTGGGCCCACTTTAGAAGGCCCTCGGGCACATGCAGCTTGCAGCCCTGAGCATCCGTCCATCGGCAGTGACTAACATCATTCAGGTCCCAAGGACTCCTCTGCCTTTTGCCCTGTGTTCTCCAAACAAAAGCTAACAAAGGTGTGAACCAAGGTGTGTAGGGTGTGCTAGAGCTGACACCTCCTTGGAGAGGGAGGAGGCTGTGGCAGCTAAAGCTCCTGGGAGGGAGGAAAGAGAATTAGCGCTCCAAAACCTCCTCTCCCATGGCCTGCAGGCAATAGATTCTGGTTTCTCTTCAAGTTCCAATGTATGGCCTGGAATTACTCATGAATTAGCACAGTATTCACAACAGTTCATGTTACTCTTTTTTTTTTTTTGTCAGATTTTTAAATTTTTAAAATTGAATTTTTGAGAGAGAGGGAGGAAGAGGGGGAGAGAGAGAGAAACATCTATGTAAGAGCAAAACATGGATTGGCTGCCTCCTGCAGGCTCCCCGACCCCACCCCACCAGGGATCAAGCCCAAAAAGCCAGAGATGTGCCCTGACTAGGAATCGAACCAGCAACCTTTCGGTGCACAGGATGATGTCCAACCAACTGAGCTGCACTGGCCAGGGCTCATGGTTCTCTTAAATGTTTGTATGTGTAGGTGCACACATAATATGTGTGAAGCATTACATCATCTCATTACAATACTATGTGGATCTAGATTTTTTTAAAAAATATAGTTTGAAGAGATTTTGAAGATCATGATATACATGATAGTGACTTAGGATGAAATTAAAATATTTGTAAGTGTCTGTGATGGCAATATAGCCTATGAGATCCAATTACAATGTTTGATATATAAAATTCATGGTCCATTTCCCCAAATTAAAATTTTACTTTAAGAATTTTATTGATAATTTCAACTACTGCTGCCTCTACAGGGTAATATTTCTCCAAACTGAAATTTAAAAAAATAAAACTAAGACTTAAGAAAGGTAATCTTGTTTGGCCTTAACATCAATAGGACCCAATTTATGTGAAAATATAACAACATAAGCAGTGATTTTGCTGAAATTAAAACAAGGAGCATTAATTTTATGGATAAGCATATAATTATACATGAATTGCGTATGTATTTATTTCATTGCTCATTTAAACATGTCAGCCAGTTAACAGAACACCCACAAACGTACAATAATAGTGAAATCCAGTTATTTAAAATTTTTTGCCAACTTTTCAGTTATATAAAGCCATAGGTTTCACTTTTTCCCCCAGCTTTGTTGCTATGAAGATATATTTACCCAAGTACAAGGATGAAGAAATTGTATTTAGATATTGGACATCAGATATGTGGGCCTCCATTCATACTCTTGCCCAGGCCTGCAAATGCCAGGGGCGGGCCCGCTGCTTCAAGGTCTCCATCTTTAACAGGGAACAGCTGCACTTAATGAGAGTGTTTGATTGTTTGTTTTATTGGTTTGCGAGAGAAAGAGAGAGAGTGAGAGAGAGATTGACTTGTTGTTCCACTTATTTATGCATTCATTGGTTGATTCTTGTATGTGCCCTGACCGGAGATCGAACCGTAAACCTTTGCACATCAGGACAACACTCTAACCAACTGAGCTGGGGCCAGAGCCTCATGAGTTTTCTTGATTTGGAATCTCATTCTCTGTCCCTTGGCAGGATGACATCCAGGCCACCTAGGAAGAGGGTCAGCATGGCTGGTGCTCCCGGGTCTCCGAAGGGAGTCCACGGGAATGCACGCAGCAAATCAGGATTTGCCTTGGGGAGCAGCAGGTCCTAAACTGGAGGCCCAGCTGGGGCCGTCAGTGCTGGAAACGGCACCATTTTGCCTCTTCCTCCCTTAGAATATGCTAAACCACCTTTTAGGCATTCCTACAGAACCTGTTGCCTTTGTTTCTGACCAGTGTTGTATAGAAATGGAAACTTTGCTGGTGAGAAAGTTGAGGACCTCTCCTAGCTGGGGCTCTCCAGTGGCACCTCTGACCCCAAGGTTTGCATGTGGAAACCTCTGTCTCCCGAGATGTGCAAGATGCAGTGTGACCACCCTGTGAGCTCGACAGGTGCTCAGAGCGCCCAGCTGAGTGGGGCCATGGCTGCAGGTGAGTGCCCAGCTGAGTGGGGCCAGGGCTGCAGGTGAGTGCCCTCTGCTCTCCTAGGCCCGCACCCGACCACACCCCCCTGAACCCCACCCGCAGGGACACCTTTTCTAATTCACCCACCAGGAGTGCGCTTTGTCTAATTTGCATACACCGGCCTGTATCAGCCTGTGGAGGCTTGTCTCCACAGTCCTTTCCTCCCCCCTCTACAAATCAGTGTTCAGCACTGGCAGTTAACCTAGATGAAGTGGAACAAGATATAGGACCCAAGCTGTTTATCCTGCAAACAAGCATATCACCTACCCAGGTGAGCTGCCTTCTGAAGCCTTGCATAACAAACGGACAATAGACAGGGTGCAACCCCTGAACAAACTGTACCTGAGCTCTGCTGACCTGGAGGCTGCCACAGCCAAGTTAGAGACCAACATGCAAACGGGCCTGCCCATCCTGCTGGCTCCCTGCCAGCCCAGAGCTCCCGCAAAAGGCCCATAAAAGGGTCCCTCCTGCCCTGCCCTTGCAGCTGAGTCTCTCTCCAGGCTCCTGGGCTCCCCCTGCTGGCTCACGACTTCCCCTCACCTGTTCTCCGTCTATACCAGCGGTTTTCAACTGGGACGATTTTCCCCTCAGGGGACAGTTGGCAATGCCTCGGGACATTCTGTTTGTCACAACAGGGGGAAGGGGTGCTATTGGCATCAGGTGGGAAGAGGGCAGGGATGCTGCTAACCTGTCTACAATGCGTGGGACAGCTCCCCACAGCAAAGCATGATCTGGTCCAAAATGCCAAGCGTGTGCCGAGGCTGCGACAGCTCAGTGTGCACCTTCGCTTGGATCCCTGTACCTGGGTCAGGTTCTTCCGCGTTACTGACCCTGGGACTGATGCTCCGGCCTCCCCTGGACCCAAGCCCACTCTCAGCAAGGACGCAATTGCCCCGTTCCTTTTTGTTCTTCAACCAGGAGCCACCAAACAAAGGCGAGGCTGCCCTCCCCTCACCAGGTTCCTGCCAATTCCTGCAAACATTTTCTGGGGCTCTGCAAGGAATCCGGTTCCCACCACCACCTTCCACCCCGGAACGTCAAGCGAGGCACTACAGGACCAACGTAGTCAATGCTAATACAATCTTGCTTCTTAAATTTTTAGTTTCGTTTTGAGATGGTCTGATATATAACAGAAAAATGAAAAAAACAAAAAAACAAAACACACCCTAGTAAGCTCTGCTCTTTGCAAAGGATCCATGTGCTTCAAGCACTGTTAACTAGTGTTGTGCTATTTTTGTTGTAACTTATCTCCTTTCTTAGATGTTTTTTCAGATCCACCCTCTCTACCTCCTTGTACCTCACGAATTATTAAGGCTAATTTCAATTTTTCATCACATCCTTTAGTTTCTCCACACCTGCACTTCTTTTAACAACAGAGCTCATCATATGGTGGTAGGATGATGCCCCACTCCCACTGTTATCCCCATATTTGTAAATATGCTACTTTACATGGCAAAGGGGGACCCTGCAGATGTGGTTAAATGAAGGCCCTTGAGAGGGGGAGTAATCCTGGATTATTTGGGTGGCCCCAACCTAATCACATGCTTCCCTAAAAAGGGAGGACCTAGCAGCGCAATTTACAATAGCTAAGATTTGGAAACAGACCAGGTGCCCATCAGCAGGTGAGTGGATAAAAAAGCTGTGGTACCTTTCCACAATGGAATACTATGCTGCTGTAAAAAAGAAAGAACTCTCACCATTTGCAACAGCATGGATGGACTTGGAGAGCATTATGCTAAGCGAAATAAGCCAGTCAGAGAAAGATAAGTATCACATGATCTCACTCATATGTAGAATCTAATGAACAAAATAAACTGATAAACAAAATAGATCCAGAGACAGAAGCATGGAACAGACTGTGGAACCTCAGAGGGAAGGCAGGGAAGGGTAGGTGGGTAGGAAGAGATCAACCAAAGAATTTGTATGCATACATGCACACAAATGGACAGACAATAGGATGCTGAAGGCCTGGGGCAGGAGTCAGGAGTGGGCTAGAAAAGGTCAATGGGTGAAAAAATGGGGCATATGTAATGCTTTCAACAATAAGGATTTTTTTGAAAAGGGAGGGCTGCCATAACTGTGTGCTCAATGGTTAGAGCATAGGCCTACGCACCAAAGGGTCATGGGTTTGATTCCTGGGTCAATGGCATGTACCTGGGTTGCAGATTCCAGCCTCTTGCAGGAGGCAACCAATTGATGTGTGTCTCTTACATCAATGTTTCTCTCTCTCTCATTCTTCCCTCCCTTCCAATGTCTCTAAAAAAATCAAAGGAAAAAATATCCTTGGTGAGCATTTTTTTTTAAAAGGCGGGGAGGACCTTTCCCAGCTGTGATTAGAGAGGTAGACATGACAGGGAAGAAAGGTCAGTGAGCTGCAACGTTACTGGTTTTTAAAGTGGAGGAAGGAAACCGTGAGCCAAGGAATGTGTGGAGCCATTAGAAATTGGAAAAGGCGTTCTTGGCTGGGTAGCTCAGTTGGTTAGAGCTTCGTCCTGATACACTAAAGTTCTGGGTTCAATCCCTGGTCAGGGCACATACGAGAAGCAGCCAA